GCCAACAAAGAATATATCCCCAAAGCTTTGGGAAACTGAAAGCTTGTCAACTTCCAGGAGGACAAAATAAACGCCCTCATACAAAACATGATTTAAAAATCTGACCCTGATGTTGCCCACAAATAATTCTATGAACCTTCAGATGGAAGCAGGTACTCTGTGTGCACCCCTTGGATATATCTTTGTCTATAGAGGAAAAGAGGAACCTCTTGGCTTATGATCGTTTAAACAGCTGGGCAAAGGGGGGGGGGGGCACTTGTTTGCTAGGATTTCTAACCATCCCTTTCTCAGTCCAGAACAGGTTTGACTGGTTCCCTAAAAGTGCTTTCAAGAGTAACTCAGGGAATTTTAGATGGAGATTCCATCTGGCAAACCCCAAACAGTATCTTCCTGAGGTATCCCAGATGGGGATGGCTATTTTGGGGGGTACACCCTACTTCCCATTTCATTGCATATTGCTAATGTTGATAATATTGCTTCGCAACCTATCCATAACTTTAAAAATCAATTGTTAATGAGACTGCATTAGCAATAACTGCACAACAGAAATCCTTAAACTCTTTAGCTCAAGTAGTTCTTGATAATCACTTGGCTCTTGACTATATTCCAGCAGAACAAGGAGGTGTGTCAATTATAGCCAACTCTTCATGTTGTACTTATATAAATGCTTCCACAGAAGTAGAAACACACATTGATAAAATCAGACAATGAGCTTTATGGTTACAATAAGTTGACAGAAATGACCTAGAATTAGAAGACTGATTCTCAAACCTATTTTCATGGATTCATCAAAATGTTCGCTCTATTCTTTCTGGAATCTTAAAGCTTGAGCTTTCCCTCTTACTACTGATTTTCCTAATTTACTTTACAACCAATATATTAATTAAATGTGAATTACAATATTGTTTCAAAACAGCAAGCAGAAACATTCAGATAATGATACTAGAAACATTTGATCATTCACCTATAACTCAAGAAAACTTTCAACAACAGGTTCAAAACTTTCATTCCTTGAACTCTGACTTCACCATACTCCAGCAGGAAGTAACCAGAGCAATAGATGCCCAGATTCCCCAAGATTGAGGAATGAACAAAAAGGGGGCGGGAAATTATGACCAGTTTCATAACAAAATTTAACAATTCTCTAGTGTCTTAGCTCCCTCATATTCCAAAAACATTTCCAGTGTTCACATCAGAACGGAAGCAAGCAGGTAAGTGGCCCTGACAGGGATGGACAGTGAGTATTATCTCACCTCCAGTCGCCTCGCAATGGCAGTCTTAGAAAAAGGAGAGAAGAGACAGAGAGGTCTCAGCACAAACTGCTGAACAGAACTTTGTAATTTTCTGTACACCGATATAATTTGTTTGAGTTTTTCCCAGAAAATGGCAGAACCTCCTTGCAGCCCTAAAATAATCACAACACAGTACTCTACGAGAATGTCCAGAGAAAGTCAAGATAAGTGACACGCCACCACAGATTGTGACCAAGAGTCACTGAGCCTATGACAAGGCTGAAAGAATAAATAAGATTAACCTCCAGCTCAATACGATACTAAAATCCCCCCCGGGGAGGGATCTGCCCACCATTTTCTGTTCATGGAGCGTATGAATTAGCATGATTCCCCACTGCACTTGCGTGCCCTGCTCTCCACCCCAAACATACAAGGAGTAGACTCCCTCTACGCAGTATTCATATTCACCTCCAGAAAAACCCCTAACTCTGCTGATCTGGGAGGTGGAATTAAGGTATCCCGTCCCTTCCCTCAGTTGACACATCCTCTGAAATAAATCCTTTCCTCCCTGACAGTCCTCATTGTCTCAGAATTGGGTTCCTATGCAGCGAGCAATAGCGAACCCCACTTGTGAGTTCGTTAACAGAATTAGGGTTTCTACTGAATGAATATAAAGTCCAAACATCCTATATGGGACCACAGTTAAGCCAGGTTATGCTGTGCTGACAGCATTAAATGCATTTTTAACTTGGAATGTTTTCAACTTATGGTGGGTTTATCAGGGCGGAGCACCGCCATAAGCCAAAGGGTATCTACAGTGGGCTGAAAGTAGACTTTATGGAAATAATCACATGGTACATATGAATACAGGCGACAATCCTACGATTCTAGTACTGGGAAGAAATGCCCTGTACTTTTATGTGTCCCAGCACATACCCCATTTGACTAGACTGGAAGGAAGTTTAAATTTAACATAGTAACTTTAAATTTCAACACAGTAACTTTACACTTCTTTTCTTTGTTTTTTTATTTCCTTGCTTATTTTTTATTTTTATTTGTTTGCTTTTTGTTGATGTTGTTGAGACAGAGTTCTATCCTATGCCCTGAGCAGAGTGCAATGGCCTCACAGCTCACTGCAACCTCAGACTCAGGCTGTGGGCATCCCGCTGTCTCAGCCTCTGGAAGCTGCTGAGACTACAGGCGCTCGCTTGTGGGCCCAGCTGGGTTCTTCCATTTTTTTTGGAGTTGGGATCTCACTCAGGCAAGTTTCAAACTCCTGAGCTCAAGCAATTCTCCTTCCTCAGCCTCCCACAGTGCTGGGATTATAGGCGTGAGTCACTGTGCCTGATCTAACTTTACATTTCTTTTTTTTTTTTTAGACAGAGCCTCAAGCTGTCCCCCTAGGTAGAGTGCTGTGGCATCACAGCTCACAGCAACCTCCAACTCCTGGGCTCAAGCGAGTCTACTGCCTCAGCCTCCCAAGTAGCTGGGACCACAAGCAGCCGCCACAATGCCCGGCTATTTTTTGGTTGCAGCCATCATTGTTGTTTGGCGGGCCTGGGCTGGATTCGAACCTGCCACCTTGGGTGTATGTGGCTAGCGCCTTAGCTGCTTGAGCCACAGGCACCGAGCCATAACTTCACATTTCTAATAAATAAGTCTCCCTTTTGATAATCTTTTGTTTTTCATAATTCTTATTTTTAATTTTCTTGCTTTATACAGATTTTTTTTATATACACTGATTAAAATCCTTTTAGTAGGTAACCAAAGTATATGTCACCAAGTATATTTGCAAAATAGGGTTGATAACATTTTCTGAATTAGGAAAGCTTCAAAACTCTTTAGAGCTGAGTCCTTAATTTCTTTCTAAATAAGATCAAACTAAGAGCATGGAGTCAGAACTTATGAATCTCATGGGATTTTTTTACTGTTGCATATAACTGAATTGATTTAAGTCTAATTTAGTATGTAGAGACAAGCCATATTCTCCTACCTATTCTGCTTCGTAACAAAACTGACATTTCAGTATCTGAGCTCTCTGACCTCCAACTCCATCTCTTCATTTGGTAAGAACTTAAGCAGAGAAAAACAGGTACAATTTACTGACTTTCTCAAACTTCAAAATCACTTTTTATCAAGCAATTATTAATATGCCAGGCACTATACCAAACACTTTACAAATATTACTTCATATAATTTTCAAAAACACCCACAAAGGTCCCAAAGTCACACAGCTCAAAAGAGGGTAAAACAAACACTAAAAATAAAATTAAGTCTCTTAATTTATTATTATAAATTTAAGTCGTCTCTCATTATGAAATAAACTGACTTAAAAAGAAAACTTGGAGGTTCAGTTTTGGTAAAGAATTTTACTTAATGGTTATGATATATGCAAAAGCAATTACTACTACTTTCTCGTCTTCTTTCTCAAAGTCTCATTAGCCCCATGATCACTCCCGCCTTGAAACTTTTTCTTTTTTTTTTTAAGAGGCAGAGTCTCACTATGTCACCCTCAGTAGAGTGTCGTGACATTGCAGCTCGCAGCAACCTCCAACTCTTGGGCTTAAGAGATTCTCTTGCCTGAGCCTCCCAAGCAGCTGGGACTATAGGCGCCTGCCACAACACCTGGCTATTTTTTGGCTGCAGTAGTCATTGGTGTTTAACAGGCCCAGCCAGGCTCGAACCCACCGCCTCAGTGTATGTGGTCGGCGCCCTACTCACTGAGCTATGGGTGCTGAGCCCCTCCTTGAAACTTTTATTTTTTGATTTTAAGTACCTTGTACACCCTGGTTTCCCTACCTTCACCTCTGGACCCTCAATCACCCATCTGTCTTCCTCTGTTGTATCTCTAAATTTGTTTGGTGGACCACAGGTCCAAATCCAGTATCTCTTCTTTATCCACTCTGTCCTTAATTGGTCTCATCCATTCTCACCTAATCATAAATCAAAATACGATTTTTATGTAAAGAGTTCTCAATTTATACCTCCCTCACACAGCACATTTGCACACACTTGCTATTTATATACTAACAGACAAGTCAAACTTAGCCAAAAGAAAATGCGCAATCTTTTTACACCTATTACCAGATTATTCCATCCCTAGTCTTCCTAACAACAGCTAGCCTCAAGGAAAAAGATTCCTCTTTTACCTTCACCCACATTCCCCACATAGACTGCTATTTTTCTGCTTTCAAGTAACTCTATCCACATCATCATCAAATCTCTCCTTGCATGTAAGAAAAGCCTCATAACTGGCCTGTTTCTCTTTTAGTCCGGTTATAATCCATCCATAACAGCTCAGCACATGAGTTTCTACCACTCTGGACCTTATTTTTGGTCTGAGAATGACCAAGCTCTTTTTAGCTTCAAGCCTTTTGCATTCACTGTCTCTCTGGAAAATGCTGCCATATCTTGAGATGGTAGGTTCTTTTACATCACTCCACTCATAATTCAGATGTCACCTCAGCAGAAAGATCTTCCTTACCACTGTATCTTAGAGTAAATCCTCTCCCCCAAACCAGTTATTTTCTATTACATCACAAATTATAATTAATATATTTGGTTTGGGTTTGAACTGCCCCTTTTTTTTGTTTCCATGAAAGTAGCCAACAGTGTCTGGCACAATGGCTTTTTAAGAAAAGCTGAATAAATCCATTAATATCTTATTGCATAGTTATTTACTTCTTCATTATTATATAGTCTTAAATCCCAAGCATATGTGAACACCATGAATGACAACTCAATTAGAATGTATGAAGAGCAACTTACGGAGTCCCACAGAATCTGGTTTGCCATTATCATTCTTACTTGGTTGCACAAGTGGAGCAAATGAAACAGCAAGGATATTTTTACTTTCCCAAGTGTTTTGTCCAGTTCGCATAATCTGTGTTAACTATTTAGAAAAAAAATAAAAAAGAACAGCTTACTTAATCTTGGCAATGTGATTATCACTTAACAGTCAAAATTTTGTTTTGAGGAAAGAACAGCCAATGAGCTATATAATTGCTTTAGCATGCAACCAAATTACTTCCATGTACATATTTACCATAAATTTATATAAAAGGAATTAAAATATTTGCGTTAAGATAAACATTTCCTGGCTTGGTGCCCATAGCACAGTGGTTATGGCGCCAGCCACATACACTGAGGCTGGCAGGTCCGGGACCAGCTGGGCAACAATGACAATTGCAACAGAAAAATAGCTGGGCTGTGGTGGACGCCTGTGGTCCCAAGTACTTGGGAGGCTGAGGCAAAAGAATCGCTTAAGCCCAGGAGTTTGAGGTTGCTGTGAGCTGTGAAGCCACAGCACTCTACCAAGGGCAACATAGTGAGACTCTTGTCTCAAAAAAAAAAAAAAAAAAAAAGATAAACATTTCCAAGCAAATGAGATATGAGATACCCAAATATAACCAAGAGAGTCTGCTGTTAGATCTGAGGTCTGACAGCCTCCAGAGGTACCACCAAAATCCACACATGCCACTGTCTTTCAAAACGTTAACTCTGAGATCAACTCAGTATTTGGCTGAAGCACTGTATCAATAAAACTCTGTTTTGATTACTGAGCCAGTGAATTGACATCATGCTCTTCTATGATGGTAAAGAAATACAAATTCTAAATAGAAACCCAATTTGATATTTCACAAACACTGTTATAAAGGACTAGGAATTTTACCAACTGGACAAACAACAATCACTAGAGATAGATGAAAAATAATAAGCTTGGTATATAACTTGCTCAAGTTGAATTAATAACTTTAACTTCTACTATAAAAAGCAGACCATTATCAATTTATTTTTATAATAGTATAAAATAAAGGCTTAATAAAATACTGATAATGTTTATTTTAAAGTAAACATTTGAAAACATACTGTTAAAGGAAAATAGAAAAAGATTGTTTAACTAGGAGTTTAAACCTTGGAAGGATTTGAGTATAATTTTTCCAGGAATTTTTTTTTTTTTTTTTTTTTTTTGAGACAGAGTCTCACTTTGTCACCCTCAGTAGTATACTGTGGCATCATAGCTCACAGCAACCTCAAACTCCTGGGCTTAAGCAATTCTCTTACCTCAGCCTCCCAAGTAGCTAGGACTATAGGCACCCACCACAATGCCCAGCTATTTTTAGAGACAGGGGTCTCACTCACGCTCAGGCTGGTTTCAAACCTATGAGCTCATGCAATCATGCAACACCCCTCCCTCCGCCTCCTATATATATATATATATATATTTTTTTTTTTTTTTTTTTTAAAGAAACAGGGTCTCATTCTGTCACCCAGGCTGGAATGTAGTAGTGCAATCATAGTTCCTTGTAACCTTGAACTCCTGGGTTCAATCAGTCCTTCCTTCCTCAGGCTACGACTATACACATAAACCACCATGTCCAGCTAATTTTTTTAATTTTTTGTAGAAACAGTATATTGCTATCTTGAGCAGAGTGGTATTGAACTCCTGTCCTCATCTTCCTGTCTCAAGCTTCCAAAGTGCTGGGATTATAAGCATGAACCGCTGTGCCATGCCCTTAAGGAGTATTTTTATATTTAGCTTTTATAACTGATAAACAATTTGCTACAGAGGATAGCGCACAGTAATAAATCACTTAGCTGCAAAGACACACTGTGATGGTAAGGGACCAGCAAGATACATAAACTCCACAATTATGATGCCAGGTTCCATTCATCTTAGATAATCTACCTCCTATTAGACAAACTGCAAGATTTTTAAAGCATCTTAGATTAGGTTAATGTGAATATTAAAGATTTATTTTCTTGAAATATATTTTTATAAACCTTTAAAGTAATTTGCTTTTGAAAGTTTCATTAATTTTTTTTTTTTTTTTTTGAGACAGAGTCTCACTTTCTCACGCTTGGTAGAGTGCTGTGGCATCATAGCTCACAGCAACCTCAAACTCCTAGGCTTAAATGATTCTTTTGCCTCAGCCTCCTAAGTAGCTGAGACTACAGGTTCCCCCCACAACACCTGGCTATTTTTAGAGACAGGGTCTTGCTCTGATGCAGGCTGGTCTCAAACTTGTGAGCTCAGGTAATCCACCTGCCTTGGCCTCCCAAGTGCTGAGATTACAGGCATGAGCACAGCACCTGGCCTCACTAACTTTCTAAACAAATTACTGTTCATATTTTTTTAGGGGGGGGCAGAGTCTCACTTTGTCACCCTCAGCAGAATGCCACGGTATCATAGCTAACAGCAAACTCAAATTCTTAGTGCAAATGATCCTTTTCCCTCAGTGTCCTGAGTAGCTGGGACTATAGACCCCCACCAAGACTAGCTACTTTTAAAGACAGGGTCTTGATCTTGTCCAGGCTGGCCTCAAACTCCTGAGCTCAGGGGATTTACCTGCTTCAGGCTCCCAGAGTGCTAGGATTACAAGTGTGAGCCACCACACCAGCCCATCCATTTACTACAACTAATAATTCCAAACCGAGGTAAGAAAAAATAAATTTAATAATGCTAATAAATAGTTGAAGCATATTTTCAAGTGAGTATTAACAGTAAAGTACTAAATGAGGATTAAAATTTACTTATTTAGGCCAGGGTGGCTCATGCGTGCAAATCCTAGCACTTTGAAGGTCAAGGTAGGTGGATCACCTGAGCTCAGAAGTTCAAGACCAGCCAGAGTCAGAGCGAGATCTCATTTCTAAAAACAGCTGGGCATTGGGGCAGGTGCCTATAGTCCCAGCTACTTGGGAGGCTGAGGCAAGAGAATCGCTTAAGCAAGAGTTTGAGGTTGCTGCGAGCTGTGATGGCACAGCCCTCTACCAAAGGTGACAAACTGAGACTATGTCTCAAAAATATAAATTAAATTAAATTCACTTATCAATGAAGGGAAGCAGTTTAAAGCAAGCCACAAACAGGATTTCTTCTCAGTATGTTCAAAGACTGCTGAACTCTGGAAACTGAACAGCTGGTAGAGGTGATCACATCCAGGAGAACACCTCTGGGTGAGGAGCCCAGGAGGAAGCAGCTTGCTGAACACCGTAAGTGGGAGAACTCAAGCAGAAGCCAGGTCTTCTCTTACCACAGCATTAGGGATCTTTAAAAAAGTCGATTTTGAGTTTTTCCTATATAGACAGATAACTCTACAAAGAATATTTCTTTAAAAATTGCAATCTGCCTTTCACTAAATAACGTCACCCATTCTTTAACAAATGTGTTTGTTAGAAATGCCTTTAAGGGAAAGCACAGGGGAAGCTACCTGGTCCTCTATAGGCATGACTAGTATGCCTCCAACTTTTAGCAATATTTTCATGTAGTTTTCATGGTCTTTCTGGACTCCGGCTCCACAATAAATTCGATCATATTGATGACTATCAGATGCTATCTGGAGGCAATTACCAACCACAAACGCTGGTTCACAGAACTCAAATCTGCATGGAAAAACAAATATACTTTAATTCATTTAAACAAAACAGTCGATCCAAAAAATCCTTTGAAATAATGAAGTTCCCAGTATTATATGGATAAAATGACTGTATGTTTTATTTTAAAAAGTATCTATTACATTTAACCTAATCAAACATATCATTTTACTATGAATGATATAGGATACATGTTTTCAAAATGTTATCCTATTGAAACCTCACTTAAGGTTTAGGAAATGAATATAATAAACCATCTATCATAAAACTAATCTCAGGATGTCCCCAAAATGACACATAATAATGATGAGAATGGTAAGGGTCAACAAACGAGAAAAAGCTCCATTTCTCACTGTCCTTTCAAAAAATAGTGGGGGACCAGAGGAAATGAGAAGGGCTCATGTAATACTCCTCCCAGTTTGATATTTTTGCTAAAGATAACGGTGGCAGATCTTTGTCAAAAAAGGATACCAGTGTCCTGACCACTGCAAGCACTAAGATCAAGGAAATGTTTCTAATGTATTTTGGCTGACAGCATTACAGTATTGGGACAAAAGAATCAATACTGTTTTTTCATACTGCTGCACTGGTCCCTATGATCTCTGTAAGCAATGAAAGGAGAGATTCGGTTTCAAAGCAAAGGTCTTATATCCCAGCTGCTGGTTCCTGATTACAGTGTTGCTTTGTGGTACACAGAGTTATGGTTTACAAGCTATCCTATTTAAATTTCTACTTTATTCCTTAAAATTTGATTTAAAAGGCTCAGCGCCTGTGGCTCAAGTGGCTAAGGCGTCAGCCACATACACCTAAGGTTGCGGGTTCGAATCCTCAGCCCGGGCCCGCCAAACAACAATGATGGCTGCAACCAAAAAATAGCCGGGCGTTGTGGTGGGCGCCTGTGGTCCCAGCTACTTGGGAGGCTGAGTCAGGAGACTCGCTTGAGCCCAGGAGTTGGAGATTGCTGTGAGCAGTGAAGCCATGGCACTCTACCCAGGGGGACAGCTTGAGGCTTTGTCTCAAAAAAAAAAAAAAAAAAAAAAATTGATTTAAAAAATCCTTTCAGACTCATATAATACATAACACATAATTAAAACCCCAAAGCACTAATGAGACATGTAATCTTTTTAAATTAATTCATATCCTTTCACTTTGGATTAAATCTGATCACATAGCAAAAAGCAGGCTATTGTTTGAAGATGAAATAATTTACATTAAAAGCTTTGGCAGGCAGTGAAAAATGACAATGATTTGAACCACAACCTTTTTTACTTTGTAAAACATACCTTGTTTTTTGGTAAATAACAGGTAAATGACTTATTACACAGTAAGTTTCCATTAAAACACAGACATGTTATAAACAGACATTTAAAGAAGAGTTTACCAGAAATTGTACCCTGTTCTTAACGTTCTGTCTTCTTGGTGGAATGAGGTGAAAGGTGGGGTGGGGACAGCTGAGGGACCTGGGTGGATAAACGTGTGCACCCTGTATATCCTCCCCACACCAAGGCAGCCCCACTGTTTCCTTCATCGTAACTGCTACCTCACTGCTCCCACTCTCAATTCCAGGACTCTCTTCTGTCATCATGCTTTCCACTGCAAAGGCTGAGATCAAGCTCCAGGAGTGCCGCCTGGGGCTCTTTATGATGCTATGGTCAAACTGCCCTACCCGACTCATTTCCTGGCTCCGCCCCAACCTGTACATACTATGCTTCAGACAGACTGAATTATTTCCTTCTAATCTTTTGAAACCCTCTATCTGCGTATGTGCTGCTCCTTTGACTTGAATACCTTTTCTCTTTCTCCTTCTTCCTTTAATGCCTGCTATCCCTGTGAGACACAGTTCAAACAGCCGCTTCACAATGAGATCTTACTCGACTCTTTAAAAGTTATCTCATTCTTTCTACTTGTATAGCATACACACAAAAGTATAAGCTCACTGAAGTTAGAGGATACATTCAATTTATCTTTGATGCTCAAGACTGGCACAATCTGATTATCTAAAGTATGGTGCTGAAACATCATTTCTTGGCTTTTAATAATTAAATATTGTGGATCATATAGTTTAATCACTTCATGAAATTCACAGTAAGCGTTCCTTTAAAAAAAAAACTTAGGGCCAGGCTCAATGGCTTACACCTTCAATCCCAGCACTCTGGGAGGCCAAGGGAGGTAGACCTCCTGAGCTCAGGAGTTTAAAACTAGACTGAGCAAAAGTGAGACCCCCCCCCCCAATCTCTAAAAATAGCTGAGCATGATGGCAGGCACCTGTAGTCCTAGCAACTTGGGAGGCTGAGGCAAGATGATTACTTGGGCCCATTAAAGTGAGACTCAATCTCAAAAATAAAAATAAAAAGGCTGGGTGCAATGGCTCACGCCTATAATCCTAGCAAGAGGCCAATGCGGGTAGATTATCCGAGTTCATGTGTTCAAGACCAGCCTGAGCCAGAGCAAAACCTTGTCTCCAAAAATAGCCAGACATTGTGGCAGGCGCCTGTAGTCCCAGCTACTTGGGAGACTAAGGTAAGAGAATTGATCAAACCCAAGAGTTCTAGGTTGCTGTGAGCTCTGATGCCACGACACTCTACCGAGGGCAACACAGTGAGACTCTGTCTCAGATAAAAAAAAAAAATACAGGATGAAAGGAAACTCACCAACCTGAGGATCAAAGAAAGGCTCCCTAAGAAAAGACAAGCTATGATCTGAGAAGTAAGAGAGGACAATCTAGAGCCACACTGTCCACTACTAGCCACAGGAGGCTACTGGGCCCTTAAAATGTGGCTAGCTCAGACGTAGCTGTGCTATAAGTACACATGGAATTTTCAAAGAATACAAAACATCTCAATTTTTACAAGTGAACCATGTAAGAAACAGAAATGTTTTGTTTTAGGCTAGGCACCCATAGCTCAGTGGCTAAGGCACAAGCCACATACACCAGGGCTTGGGGGTTTAAACTCAGCCTGAGCCAGCTAAAACAATAACAACTATAACAAAAAATAGCCAGGCATTGTGGTGGGCACCTGTAGTCCTAGCTACTTGGGAGGCTGAGGCAGGAGAACTGTTTAAACCCGAGACTTTGAGGTTGCTATGAGCTGTGACGCCATGGCACTCTACCAAGGGCGACATAGTGAACCTGTATCAAAAAAAAAAAAAAAAAAAAAGAAAGAAATGCTCTGTCTTAACTTTCTACCTACCAATTTTAAATATGAACCCAAAATTGACAAGTTAAATACACTCATGACAAGAATCTCAGAGCTAGAAGAGAAACATGCCAAGAAATAAGGCTACAGAAAAAGTATTTATATATGGCACTCTCTACAGTAATATAACAGCTCGTGTTTTATTAAATTGGTTACTGTAATAACTTCAGTTTCATATTACAGAATACAAGATTTTTTTCCAACATGCCAATAAAAGCAAAATTCAAACAGAAGGGAAAAAAAGCAAGTCTTGTACTTAATGAATAACCAACTCTTCTATCACTGAAAAGCAGGCCCCCCACCCTCCCTACCCCACCCCTGCTTCCTGAAGATCTCAAATAAACCATCTTTACTATCCTAGTAAACAACTTGAAGGTTTCCTTTCTAATGGAAAGCAGAAGTATAAACACTTCTATACAAGGAGAATTACAATGAATAATTGCAGAGGAAAATCAGATCTCTAAATTAATAAATAATTTCTATGCTGGAATACATACTTCTAACAAAAGCATATAGGATCTTTACATTTTTATTTAATATATGAAAAGTGATTCCCTTTACCAGAATACTCAAATTTGAAAGCCTACTAAAATTTGAGACAATATTCCAAAAGAACTTTATTATCATTTTTTTATGTTATTTCTAAATTTAAAAAATAGCAAAAATTGGGCAGCGCCTATGTCTCAAAAGGGTAAGGCACTAGTCCCAAATGGTGGAGGTGGCAGGTTCAAACCCAGCCCCAGCCAAAAACTGCGAAAAAACCCCAAAATTGAAGAACAAAATTTTAGAGGTAAAATATAATGTTTTTACATGCTGGCACTAAGACATCTAGAACACAGTAGAGAACTCATATGCCAAACATACTATAAGAAAACTGTTGGCCGGGCGCAGTGGCTCACATCTGTAATCCAGACATTCTGGGAGGCCAAAGTGGGTGGATTGTTTGAGCTCAGAAGTTCAAGACCAACCTGAGCAAGAGCAAGACCCCATCTCTAAAAATAGCCAGGCATTGTGGTGGGCACCTGTAGTCCCAGCTACCTGGGAAGCTGAGGTAAGAGAATCGCTTGAGCCCAAGAGTTTGAGGTTGTTGCAAGCTATGATGCCACCATGCTCTACCAAAGGTGACAAAGTAAAACTCAGTCTCAAAAAAACAAACAAACAAAACAAAACCTGTGACACTGTCATTTAGACAGAAAAATGTCTAGAGATAGTGCCCGATCTGGGTACTATTTTATTACTTTTATAAGTATGGCTTAACCTTTTCCACCCATTACCCATTACATAGAACTTCACAATCAGTTCTTCAAATGTATATTCTTAATTTTTCATCTATAAAAGTATTATGGATTAATTTTCCTAATAAAATACTTATATACAAGCTCTGGCATTTCTGACTCAGTATGGCGTTGCAAAGCTTAGACATTTTGTATTCCGATACTAGTATTATGGCTTACATTTATAACAGCATCCACATAAATAAATTCATACCAATCAGGTTACAGAATGACCAAAATTCCACTGTAATTTTTTTTTTTAATCTTTAGGTTAATGTGTATTGATATGCTCATTTGTAAGCATGAATGACTGACTGATTCAAGACATGCATGGTGGCGATGAAACAGAGTAAATTACAACTTTTTCTTCCTTAGGCTTTGAGTATCATCTTACCTAAGTTTCCACCAAGTTATGGAGGTAAAGGACATATTTTAAACCACAAATATAATTTCTGCATAATTTGGAAAACTGTAGCAATAAACTAACCAGAAGTTCTTAGTTTACCAAAAAATAGTACTACCCTATTTATAAATTTAC